CAGTTGGAGAAGTACCTTTCCCCAATTCACACTTTCTCCCAACTTTCCTCCCAGGTTGCACTCCATCAATGTCATATGTGAATGCCTTTCTCATTGATCAGTTTTCAGCCACTTTCTGCAGTATTTAAAATACTTAAATATTTCTGATTTTTTTAAAAGATAAATCACACATTTTTGCTATCAAGAGGGTTTTTTTATGTAGAATGGGTGTCTTTTGATGGCTTTTATTAACAAAAGCATGGGCTTATTTTAGTTTTATTCTACAGTTTTTTCATTAGATGATGCTTTGATTAGTAATACATGACAGTCATTTGAATAAACTTTATTTAACATTAAAACTACAGGGTGCAATGATGTAGTTTATACTTAGGGGGAAATAAACTGGTAATAGGTATTGGATCAGTAAACTTATTAAAATTTTAGAGTGAGCATATAGTTGTTATTCACAAAACTCTGATTCAGAATTACATGTTAACAATGATATCTCAATAGGTGATCTCTTGTTGTAAGCCCCATAGATCTAGAACAGATTATTAAAATTTTGGCTGCCAATTGTGTGCTTGCAGGTGGAAAGAAACAAACAAACATTTGTAAATCTAGCATTTTAACACTATTATTTTAAACCGATAAATAAAGATGTAGAGATTATATGATCTTCATTATTTATATGTCATCTGTGGCTTTTCATGTTTTTTTTTGGTTTATGACTGTATTATAGTTAGACTTAATATTGGGTAATTGTAAAAGAAAGCCTCTATCATAGATGGGAAAGCATACAAATAGTTGGTTTGCCAAATAAGTTACATTTTGTACTTTTCTTGCATCAGAGTGTAAGGAAATTTAAGATGTTAAAAGATTTGATTGATGCACAAGGCAATTTGAAATGCTATTTTCCATCAGTAGGGACAGAAGGCCCAAGTGCAACCACACCCAGTGGGAAGGAGGGCAACACACCCAGGGAACCCAGCACTGAAAATACCAGTCCAGGCAACTCAGGTAAGTTAGGATGTGCACTTACTGAATATTATTGGGTAGAAATATGGAAGCATGTAGGCATGGAAATGTACATGGAGATTGAAATTTGTCTTAATCTCTCAATCTCCTGCTTCTGAGGATCTAGCATAAATTGCAAGCATTGCTACTGTGTTTATCAGGTACAACAGGAGAGTCCTTGAGATCAACCTCAGGAGCAAGTACACCTGCACCTTCAGGCACTGGGGCCACCAGCACTGGAAGCCCAGCAAGTAAGACAGAGCCTCCTTAGGGACTGTGGTGGGGTCTAATCCAAGTTTTGTCCAGATCCCTGAGTGAAAATGAGCACGAGGAATGAAACAATGGAGAATATGGAAGGAACTGATGACTAGAATAAAACCATGGAATGTGCGGGCATGAGCTTTTCTTCCTTCCTCTCTGTACACTAAGCATTATTTTTTTCTCCCATTAGCAACAAGAGGAGCAACTGACACAGCCACCACTGTCTCTGCTGGTGACAACACATCTGGAAGGACAGGTACTGATGGAGCTTAAG